TCACGGTATGCATACTGATGAGGGTCCTCGTTGATGTTGATGGTTGTTTTGATGTGAGTCATGACCAGTTTTTCGAAGCATTTAGCGACTATCGGGGTGAGGGCCACTGGCCGATAGTCATTCAGACCAGTCATGACATCTGATCAGATGACATCTGTGGTGCTCTTTCTTGGCATGAAACCGTACTGTTGCTCACAGATAGTCACCTCTCGTCTAAGTCTTGTTTCCACAACTCTCTCCCAGATCTTCATTGTGTGACTAATCAACTTAATTCCCCTGTAGTTGCTACAACTCTGAACATCGCCCTTGTTTTTAAAAATGGGCACCAGCACACTTCTTCTCAATTCAATTCAAAAATACTTTCAATTAAATTAAATTCAAAAATACTTTATTAATCCCAAAGGGAAATTATTTGTTGTTGTAACTCGTTATCCTCATTTCATTAAGAGATGTTATAGATGCTGATGGCTGTAGGCAGGAAGGATCTCTTGTAAAGGTCCATCCCACAGTGGATCCTAAGAAACTGGCTGCAGATGCCGTCCGATCCATCCACCCAAATTCGGTTGGCCTCTCGGTTCCCCCGGGCTGTAGGACCGCCCGAATGCCGGGCAGAACTCCTCCCACAGCAATGGCCACTCCTCCCAACAGTCTGCAGAGCTCCTCGTTGCTGCAGACAGCCAACTGTAGGCGTCGAGGGACGATCCTGTCCTTCCGCTGTCATGAGCCGTGTTTCCTTCTAGTTCCAGGATCTCAGTGGTCAGGCACTCGAGCACAGCTGGCAGGTAGATGAGAATGCGTCCACGGAACATCCTTTTCAACCCATCTGAGATTTGGGGCTGTAGTTGAGATATTATTTGAGCCGTTGAGATGTTAATCAGCTGGTTGGTTGTAGAAAACTGCCTTGTTGCCATGGTTACGCATCATAACAAATGTCCTAAACTAAAAAAGTTTCAGTAAAAATCCTTCCAGCTGCACAGCATCTGATACCAGAGGAAACAATCATCCAAAAAATGTGATTTACATCCAGAAAAAGAGGAATTAAAGTTTCCAAAAGCAAAATCTCAGAATGAAAGTAGAGCTGCTCCAACATGCAGCCACCTTGAGCGGCGCAATTCTGGAACAATTGCAGTTCTCAATCGCAATTCTCCATTCCTCTGGCATTTTCTCCCCCTCAAATATGCCGTTGAATATTTGAATCAAAAACATCACATACATCTTTTGGATAAAATATCCTATTCATTTTAATTATTTTAAAAGAAGCCATGCACAAACGTGTGTTAGGAAGAGCAGACTTGCCTACAGTGCGTACGGAAACAAGTTCAGAACCCTGTGCATTTATTTCACTCTTTGTTTCAATGCAACCTTTTGCTAAAATCAAAAAAGTTAATTTTATTTCTCATTAATGTACACTCAGCACCCCATCTTGACATAAAAAAACAGAAATGTAGAATTTTTTGCACATTTATTTAAAAAAAAACCTGAAATATCACATGGTCATAACGTATTCAGACCCTTTGCTGTGACACTCACATGCTGTCCAGTTCCTTCTGATCCTCGAGATGTTTCTACTCCTTCATTGGAGTCCAGCTGTGTTTAATTAAACTGACTGGACCTGGTTAGGAAAGGTCTATGTAAAAGCTCACAGAGCATGTCAGAGCAAATGAGAATCATGAGGTCAAAGGAACTGCCCAAGGAGCGCAGAGACAGAATTGTGGCAAGGCACAGATCTGGCCAAGGTTACAAAATAAGTTCTGCAGCACTCAAGGTTCCTAAGAGCACAGTGGCCTCCATAATCCTTAAATGGAAGAAGTTTGGGACGACCAGAACTCTTCCTAGACCTGGCCGTCCAGCCAAACTGAGCAATCGTGGGAGAAGAGCCTTTGTGAGAAAAATAACCCAAAGATCACTGTGGCTGAGCTCCAGAGATGCAGTAGGGAGATGGGAGAAAGTTCCACAAAGTCCACTATCACTGCAGCCCTCCACCAGTCGCAGCTTTATGGCAGAGTGGCTCGACGGAAGCCTCTCCTCAGTGCAAGTCATATGACAGCTCTCATAGAGTTAGGCAAAAAAACACATGAAGGACTCCCAGACTATGAGAAATAAGATTCTCTGGTCTGATGAGACGAAAATTTAACTTTTTGGCGTTAATTCTAAGTGGTATGTGTGGAGAAAACCAGGCACTGCTCATCACGTGCCCAATACAATCCCAACAGTGAAACGTTGTGGCAGCATCATGCTATGGGGGTGCTTTTCAGCTGCAGGGACAGGACGACTAGTTGCAATTGAAGGAAAGATGAATGCGGCCAAGTACAGAGATATCCTGGAAGAAAACCTCTTCCAGAGTGCTCTACCTCAGACTGGGCCAAAGGTTCACCTTCCAACAACACAATGACCCCAAGCACACAAGTAAAATTACAAAGGAGTGGCTTCGGAACAACTCTGTGACCATTCTTGACTGGCCCAGCCAGAACCCTGACCTAAACCCAATTGAGCATCTCCTGAAAATGGCTGTCCACCAACGTTCACCATCCAACCTGACGAAACTGGAGAGGATCTGCAAAGAAGAATGGCAGAGGATCCCCAAATCCAGGTGTGTAAAACTTGCTGCATCATTCCCAAAAAGACTCATGGCTGTAGAGCTCAAAAAGGTGCTTCTACTCAATACTGAGCAAAGGGCCTGAATACTTATGACCATGTGATTTTTTCAGTTTTTCTTTTATAATAAATTTGCAAAAATTTCTACATTTCTGTTTTTTTTTTTTATGTCAAGATGGGGTGCTGAGTGTACATACATGAGGGCAGGTGTGGCTGAGTGGTTAGAGCAGTCGTCCTCCAATACAAGATTTGGGGGTTCGAATCCACCAGCAGTCACATGCCAAAGTGTCCCTGGGCAAGACCCTGAACCCCTCATAGCCTCCGATGTGTGTCCCATCAGTGTATGAATGTGATAAAGCTCTGATTAGTCTAATTTAGAATGTTTTGTTCAATTAGCTTTGTAGAGATCTAGTAGAGTGCTGTATGAATGGGTCAATGAGGACACAGATTGTAGTGTAAAGTGCTTTGAGTATCTTGAGCAGATAGAAAGGCGCTGTATAAGTACAGTCCATTTACAGTCCATTAATGAGAAATAAAATGAACTTTTTTGACTTCAGCAAAAGGCTGCAATGAAACAAAGAGTGAAAAATTTAAAGGGTCTGAATACTTTCCGTACCTACTGAAGATGTTTTAAATTTTTAAAGAGGACAGCCTCAACATTGAAGTTTACAGAAAACCAACCCACACAGACCAGTATCTTCTGTTTGACTCCCACCATCCACTGGAACACAAACTCTCTGTCATCAGAACTTTACAACATCGGGCCGAACGCGTCCCCACAAAGACAGAAGGGAAGGAAAAGGAACAGAACCACATTCAAGAAGCTCTTCAAACATGTGGATATCCTAACTGGGCTTTTGTCAAGTCAGCGAGGAAATCTACAAAACACACCAATAAACAGAAAAAGGAGAACAGCAGACGTAAAAACATGGTCATCCCTTATGTTGCTGGAGTATCAGAGAAATTCAGAAGGATTTTCAACAAACACAAGATCCCAGTACATTTCAAACCCAGCAGGACTCTCAGACAGAGGCTGGTCCACCCTAAAGACAGAACACCCATACACAAACAGAGTGGTGTAGTGTATGCGGTCCAGTGCAGCGAGGACTGTCCAGACCTCTACATTGGAGAAACTAAACAGCCTCTTCACAGACGCATGACTCAACACAGGAGAGCCACCTCCTCAGGACAAGACTCAGCTGTTCACCTCCACCTCACAGATAAGGGACACTCTTTTGAGGTCCAAAATGTGCACATTTTGGACCGAGAACACAGATGGTTTGAGAGGGGGGTGAAGGAAGCAATTTATTTAAAAAGAGAAAAGCCGTCTCTTAACAGAGGAGGAGGCCTCAGATTTCCACTTTCAAAAACATATAATGCAACTTTAAAACAGATTCCCAGCCGGTTTTCACACCTGATGGGAACAGAGGGGCCTCGTCTGTGAATTAGAGGAACAAAGACCTTAAGAAACCCGAACTGTTAAGGTGTTTAGGTGTGACTTGTCAAATCTACATGTGTGTGTGTGTCTTATCTCACTCAGCCTTAAAACCTGAATCTCTCACTCTCTGCTCTTTGAATTGAGAAAACTCCACGGATGAGGAGCGAAACGTCTTCTGTTACAAATAAAGTCCAGTTGTTTTTGTATTGAAAGTTTTTTGAATTCATTAGGCTTTTCAAATTATTTTAGATTATGAGTTGGTTGTTAATGGTTGTTAGTCTCTACGTGACCCTGTGATGGACCTGGGACTTGTCCAGGGTGTCCCCCACCTCTCACACAGTGACTGCTGGACATGGACACCAATGACCTGGAAAGGAAGTGAGTGAAGCTATTGCATGGATGAATGGAAGGAAGGAAGCTAAAATTAAGAAAAAGTTTGCTACAGTTAGTGAAACACTAGTAATTTGCAGCAAAAGGTAAAATGCAGTGGTGCTTGAAAGTTTGAACCCTTTATAATTTTCTATATTTCTGCATAAATAACTTCAAACATCTGATTTTCACACAAGTCCTGAAAGTAGATAAAGAGAACCCAGTTAAACAAATAACACAACATATACTTGGTCATTTATTGAGGAAATTGATCCAATATTACATATTTGTGAGTGGTAAAAGTATGTGAACCTCTAGGATTAGCAGTTAACTTGAAGGTGAAATTGGAGTCAGGCATTTTCAATCAATTGGATGATGAGCAGGTTTGAGTTGGCACCCAGTTTGATTAATTTTTTTTTTTAAAACATTGTCAGTATTGTGTGATCGAGCCATTAGGAAGCAAAAATGTAAAATAAACATTACTTTTCACCACTTACAGCAAACTGTGACACTGGTTGTAAATAAAAACAGGATATGACAACTGATTTCACTGATATATTGATTTATTAATTATACATACTCTATAAAAATTATTCACTTACATGTTATAAGCTGTGATAATTCACTTTTTAAAGATTCTTCAGAGGTAGATTGCACTTGATTCTGTTACAGATATAAATCACTTCTGACGCCTGCTTTTATCTTTTCTAGCCGTTCTGCTGAGAGGCTCTGCTTGGACCATGATGATAAACAGCAGTTTCTATTTTGCAGAAAGTTGCCGATGAATGCTTTGGTACCGCAGCAGCTCCTTGTCAGAAACAGATGGTTTGAAATGTTCCAGTGCTGAAGAAAAATCCTCCATGGACAGGAAGACAGGGGAGTCCTCTGAATCCAGACCTGGGGAAGAGGATGGTTGGAGGTTATGTCCAGTAGAAATAGGAAAAGGTAGAGAACCTGCTGCTGAAGGACTGAACAAGTGAATTACCTTTCAGATTATGTGTGTATCTATGAAGCTGACCAAAAGGCTGGATACATTTAATTACACATAACTAGACAATGTTAAAGATGATTTACTTAGAAATAGCCTAAAACACAAATTAATTAAAGGCCTAGCATTTCCTTTAGGAAATCATTTCATGACAGACTTATTTTTTCTTCTTTCGGCTGCTCCCTTCTTCAGGGGTCACCACAGCGAACTATGTCACATGAAGACCTGGCAATTATTTTTACGCTGGATGTCCTTCCCGACTCAATCACAGACCACCGAGCTACCACAGCCCTGTGTGGAGCAGGGAGCTGATATCTAGGGCGCCCGGAGGAGCAGATGGTGGGGGTTAAGAGCCTTGCTCAAGGGTCCAGAGTGGGGCAAACGAGGGTGGAGGCAGGTGTGGGTGTTTTACCTATCCCACCCACATTTTTGATGTTGTCAGTACCAGGAGTTGAACCGGCAATCTTCCAATCACAGGCCCACCCTCTCTAACCTCTGCACCACCACGTTCGAGTCATGACGGGCTTAAACTAAGTTCTTTTTATGATGAAAGGGGAAACAGTAACAGTAGTTGTTTTGTTTAAAACTTGTAAACTACTATGTCTATTTTTGTCCTCCATCGCGAAGCGAAGACAGGGTATTAGAAATCCACCCGTCTGCCTTTCGGTGTGTAGCTGTGCCTATGCATAGGAAACGTCACAACTCAAAGCTGGAGTCCTCCATCTGTCCATTATCTTCTGCTTGTTGCAGAGTTGTGCCGCTGGGTTAGCAGCTTAGGCAGGGAGGTCCAGATACCTCTTTCCTCAGCCACCTCCTCTTGGAGGACTTCAAGGCGTTCCGAGTCCAGCCAAGAGACACATGGCGCTTTGCCACTCTCCACTCTCACCGGGTCCATACCACACCGCACCAGTTAAGGGAGGGCCATTACGATAACCACCCCCACTCAGCCCGGTTTATGAGACCACCTTGTTCGTGGTTCCAAGCAGACTGACGTAAGCAGAATGCAGCCGCTGACTGGTCTGAACTACGTCAATGGATGACCCGCGTAGCAAAACTGCAAACTACATCTGAACCTCCGTTTCCTCTCTGATCGTCTTGAGTGTGTTTTTTATATTAAAGTTTCTCTTATGGAAGTATTGTGGCAATGTGTATTTATGTACTCACCATGCCTCATCTATTTTACTCTATCAATACAGATTTTAGACTTTATAAGCTTTTCTGCTTCTGTACTGTTATTGTGAATGATATGAAAACGTTCCATGATCCTTACGATCAGTCTTGACGTGACAGGTCAGTAAAGAGACAGCAAGAGATAATTTTTTTATATTCTCAAGGTTCGATTGATATGGTTACGGTTTGAGTCCTTGCTAGACGTTTCTGCTTCTACGTTCCTCATTCTCTTGTGTGTGCAGCAGGGCTTCTGATAACAGCTCGACAGAGCGAAGCAGTGGAGGGAAAGGCTGGCACCTGGGTGATTCTATAAACCAGGGGTGTCAAACTCACTTACAAAAGGGGCCAAAATTAAAACATTTTTCAAACTAAGGGCCAGTTTCATAATCTAGATTAATTAAATCAGACACCAACATCTTTTCTTGGTCACAGGTTCTTCAACAAGAGTTTGTTTGGTCTCATTTGATGTTCTCTGTTGTGCTATGGACATCATAATCAAAGATTACTGAAACAATTCAAGAGATAAAAGTATTTTACGTTTCACATATCATCTTGGGGGCCAGATAAGGTGTCAACGAGGGCCACATTTGGCCCCCGGGCCTTGAGTTTGACACATATGCTGTAAACTAACAAATTGTTACAGGGAGCGCAGAGTGGGTCAGAACCTCAGACAGGTGAAGGCGTTGATAAGTGTGTACTTGGAAATGCATTGATCTTCTGTGATTATTGACTGTTCTCCAAAGCTTTGAAATAAATCTGATGAAGTCTACACCTGATCATTTTGGGAATCTTTTTTCCACGACAGAAGCTCCAAACATGGTGCTGTGGACCAATGATGAGGCACAGATGTTCCTAACTTTATTGGCTGACGTTAGGATTCAGCATGAGCTGGACGGTGACACGATAAACGAGTGCATTTACAGAGAGATATCGAAGATCGATGGTGCAGCATGGCTACACCCAGAAGCAGTGTTGGGATAAGCTAAAGAAATTGAAGTTTGATTATAGGGTGATTAAGAACTACAAACAGGTGGAGTAGCTCCAACACAATGACCTGTCAAGATCCCGCCCACAGAGTGGAGAAACAAGTCACAGTGGCAAATTACCTACACCTGACAAGAACCAATAAGACGAAAGCCGAGCTGCGTCACACTTATCAATGGAAAAACAGCTACAGTCTTTCCGGTGTGTCCTGGGTCATCTCTGGGGTCAAAATCCAAAATGGCTGCTGCCATAAATGTCAGTCCCATGTTGTGAGCATATTTTAATAAACAGGTGAAGTACTGACTTTCATTTTGGTATGTAACTACATGTAGGTGTGAGAAAGATCCCTATTGAAAACTGGGTTGCTATGTCAAAATCCAGTCCAGAAAAACACTCATTTTGAAAACTACAAACATTCACTTTTCAAATCCCTCAGTGACTGAGATATCAGCGTACCGCTTACACCAGATGTAACAGAGTTTAGAGTATAACTTCAGATACTACCACACCAAACTCTATACTGTAATTACATGAGGTAAATCCTTTTTTGTGCTTACTAAATTCAATTAACTGTGACAGCCATCTTGAAGCAGTGACTCCAAATGAGAATGAGCTGTAGATGTACACCAGACAAGCCTTTTCTGAAAGTTTCATTAACATTTCTTCAGTGAGTTATGAGATATTTTACTAACAGACAAATATGTCAATTTATTAACCGTCATTTAACCAGACAAATCCCAATGAGATCACAGATGTGTTTAGCAGGAGAGGCCTGGGCCTGAAAGCAGCCTAATATGCATGTTTTGAACTGTTGGAGGAAACTGGAGTCCCCGGAGAAAACACACGTGTACATAAGAACATGCACACGCCACACAGAAAGAGCCCCGGTCTAACCAGGTGATCGAACCCATGATCTTCTTGCTGAGGCAAGAAGGTACTAACCTAAACCGTCCACTTCTAACCACTACGCTGCCCTGCTGCCCAAAGAAGACGGATTGTAACAGCTAACGCTGAAGTTTGAAGCAAAGCTCTTGCACACCGAGTAGAATTTGGAGTGTGTGATGAACTCTCGGCTACAAAACGGCAACATGTTTTAGCTCAATATTTATAACTGGAGGACATTTGTGTGTGTTTTTAGAGCAGTTGGCTTGGTGTCCAACTGGATTTAGGTTGGGTCCAAAAGTTAATCATTTGAAGACGTACATCCAATGATTATTTTCTGAATTGTATTAAAATTTGTCCAGAGGTTCATGAGACATTTTACTAACAGACAGACAATTTTCAAACAAATATCTTCTATGTTAATGCTAAGAATATGCTAGGAGTCAGTTTCAGCTACATCCATACCAAACTTTAGGTTTTACATCTATATCTTATTACTTTGTTCCACTTCGGAGTAAGCTGTTCGGGGAAGAATCAGTTTTGTGTTGTGTTTCCTTGACTGATGAAGCCTTCTGGATGGAAGGTGAAATGTTTCAGCACAAAAAAAAAAAGAAACTGTCCAGATGACCTGACTGAAAAGTGTTGGATCTATATCTTAGGTTAACATCTATAAAACTGACAGAGTTATTATAGCAATACTGTTGTTAGGGGTGTAACAATACATGGATTTAAATCGATATATCAATTAAACGATTAATGATTCAATTAAATCGTGGCAAAACTAAAACATCGATTCATATCGCCATCTTTAAAATATGCTTTTATTTTGAAATTCTCAGGGCACGTCTGCGTCACCGTTTCCGTGCGCGGCTGCGCTCTGCGGCCGCCTCAGCAACATGGCAGACGAGGCAGAAAGCACGGATAATGAAATTCACTCTCCTGCTGGATTTAAATCAACTCTGTGGAAATATCCTGGATTCCAACAGAAGGACGGCTCAACAGACAGAACTCATGTCGTGTGCAACAACAGGTGCCGGTGTGAGTTCAAATACTCAGGAAACAACTAATTTGTCCGTTCACCTGAAGAAACACAGCATTTATATCCATGCTATGTAAACTCAATATCTATTTTTGTTTCTTTATAACTGAAAGATCATCAGGGCACTTTTAAGTTAAATGGTTTTAGAAAATGCACTTAAACATGAGAAATGTGAGACTATACCGAACAGGTCATTTTTATTTTTTCATTAATTAAGATTTTTTTTTTTTTTTTAATGCCTGGTACCTGCAATAACAGAAATACAATAGTTAAATTGTTTTTGTAAATTTATTTATATGTAAATGAGATGGGCGTTTGATATCGCAATATATCGATCGCAGACTTGTGAATCGAATCGAAATCGTATCATGACAGACAGTGATATCGAGAGAAATCGTATCATCACACAAACAAATCAATATAATATCGTATCACAAAGTTTGTTTTCTCAGTCATCCAGGTATATAACAACAAAAAAGGTTGAATCATGTCATCTGGACTTCGTTTTTTTGTTAAAAAGAAACGTTTCGCCCCTCATCCAAGAGGCTTCGTCGGTCTGAGGCCTAGCCATCTGGTATTACCCAGAAGCCACCCTGACTCTTGTGTTCCAAGCCTGCCTCAGATACCCCTGAAGTCTG